AGATGAAAAGTTGATAAAACGTGTTTAAAGTGCTGCTCCAATCTGATTACAATACAGATCTATATTTCGTTTCGTTTTTTTATACTTTCGATGACCTCTACTACATGAAGATCTGACCGGTTGTAGTGGAAGGTCGCGTCAGAGGTCATGCGTATGACATTTGACTCTATGACGTCAGATACTTGATTAACCAATCAGCGTTGATGTTTCTAGTGGGTTACCTACCTTTCCGTGCACCCCACGTCAAAAACTCGCCGTAACAGACCGTTTCATTGGCTAATCCCGCACATCATCCAGAATTCGGGTTATATAACAACTCTTCCAGATCCTAGTGTAGTAAATACAAGTAAAACGAAATTTTGAACTATAAAAATGAAACGAAATAGGAACTGTGTTTCAATCAGATTGGTGCTTCTCTCATTGGCATTTTTCGAACGATATAATTTACCCAATTAATAAAAGAATAAAAATATCAACGTTAAATAATTTCCCGGCTTGGATTCAATCCAAAGAGATATATCCAAACTGTGTAACACTAATCAAGTGGGTGAAGAAATCCACTTCACGATATAATCTCCATTCTTGAGAGATCTAAGCTATAATTTCTTACAATCATGGTTTATTAGATCCCCAACAGTAAGTAATCTAGTGCCACTATTTAATTCGACTGATCACATTGTACACGGTGACCAAAAGAAAACAGAACACATAAATTGTTTATCAAATTTCAAGAAATGTCTTTTCCTTGATTGAGAGAGAGAGAGAGAGAGAGAGAGGGGGGGGGGGTAACGTCCAATCGACACAAGGAGTCTTTAGCAGTGGGGGGGAACCGGAGGACACGGAGAAACCCCACGAGGTTGGACGGGCGACCCTACTCCCTGTCACGTAGAACCGTGGATTCGAAACCACGCCAGTTGACTCCTCAATGACAGGCCTTACGATACAGAGCACACGTGCTAACCATTCGGCCATTTGGCCATCCAACCCCCTTCCTTGATTGACCAATATATGTTGGCGAAGATTTATTCCAATATTTCATGCACAAAGTCAACTTGTATATCCTGAGAAATACAAGAAGAAAAATTAAAATTAACAATTTTATTCAAAGATTTGTGTGTGTGTGTGTGGGGGGGGGGGGGTTCGGAGTGGGGGGGGGGGGGGCGGTCACCCTGTAGTAAGGAATTTATCCATGTTTATATCAAAATGTATAGAAATAAGACAAATAATTCTCCACTATTAAATTAGTGAATAACGCCCTGATATCATATATTACGTTTATTGATCATTTGTTTGTTTTTTTTAGGTAAACTCTAACTTTATTGACTTTATTTATTGTGAATATTTTTAACTATAATAGTAAGATTTAAATAGTTAATATCGTCTTCCATAAAAATATTTTATATTTAAAATTTGTTATTGAGATACGTCTCACTTTCGTTAAGGCCCGCGGCAGACCGGTGTAGCGTCCTTACGGCGCTGCTGCGACCGTACGGCGACCTGAAAATGCATAAGGTCGCCGGCAAACGTGAATACAATGCGAGAAAAATGTCCCCAAAAATTACAAAATTGAAAATAGCCGCCTTCTCACAGCTTTGTAGGTCAGATCGGCGATAATTGTCGACCATGGAGACCACAGCACGATATCTGGCGTTTCCAACCAGCTTTTACCACGGCTATGACCATCTTGACGCGCTCTGAGACCATTTAACTTCGCCGTAGCAGCGCAGTAAGGACGCCAATCCGGTCTGACGGGGGTATTACCACCATCCTCGGTATCGCCAGTGGTCCCATTCGGTTCTATTCCACTAATCCCTGGGTTAATAGGGGATTTGGATGGCTTAGTGGTTAGCACGTGCGCGCTGTATCATGAAGTATGCCATTGAGTCAACTGGCGTGGTTTCGAATCCCCGGTTGTACGTGACAAGGAGTAGGGTCGCCTGTCTAACCTCGTGGGTTTTCTCTGGGTCCTCCGGTTTCCTCCCACTGCTAAAGACCCCTACGCGCAAACGAATTCTGGAAATACAATTGAACCATATGTTAGGCCCGAAATGACCTAGTTTGTGTTGAGTGGACGTTAAACCCCATTTCTCTCTCTCCCTCTCTCTCTCTCTCTCCGGGTTAATCGATGGGGTGGGGGGGTCAAGTTATTCGCCCTTGGTGATTGAGCTATTTTTATTGACGATCCTATAAATCGATAATTGCAAAGGAAGTTGGCAAAGGGAAGTAACTATCATCGGGTAAAGTAAGCAAAACACAAAGGCTCCCCTTCAAGAGACAAGGTTAGGACTTAGCCAGATGGTATGCTAAATGAGAAAAGTCCATATTATACTAAATGCATATATATAAGCAACAAATATCAATTATTTAGGAGATAAACACAGCCTGGATCATTAGGAATGTTCTAATGTAAAATCTCAGGACATGGCTATTGGACAATAACACCTCTCTAAATGCGAAACAGGAGGTGTTTATCGACATTGTAACATGCTATTTTAGCATTTAAAAAGAAATGACTAAAACAGACGGTTGTTATTGTCCAATCGACAGTGTCTAATTGACCAATCAAAACGCAAGATTCACCCTTAAGCATGCTACAACCTTAAATTGTAGCGCAAATCATGATAGTGGGAACCTAGCAGAAAAATTCCGCAGTTGATGTCGAATGTTGACAAATGTTTAGTTCTTCATATCTTTATAAATACTGAATGAGATGAAATAAAATGAAATGGGTTTAACCATGCATATTGAATATTAAACATACATTATGACGTCATATTAATAATGATGTCATTGTATTAATCTTATTAAACATATTATGCACGAGCTAAATCTGCTTATTGCAGGTCTTAGGCCTGAAATGTTAACTTATCCAGATCACAATCAACTCTAGATGGCATCGCTAGCCGGCGATCCTAAGTGGATTGTGAGCCGATTTACTGCATAACTTTCCTTCTCGATTAAACGATTAAGTGGATAATCGAGACTATGCTGTTTATCGTACTAATTTTTGTAATGATCACCGAGGCTAGGCAAAAATTTCATTCGCTTAGTTCTCAGTTCATAGTGGATCAATTTGAATGAAATTTTTAGCAAATTGCCTTTACGTTATCTAGTATTTTATTATTATCGTGAGAACTGTCAACTCGTTATCGAATCTCCCATAATGTATCGTTAAGTAAATTCTTGGATGACATTTTCTGGCAACTTGTTGTTCCCGCCGTTTAATGGCAGAGTCTATTGTACGTTTAAACCAACCAATGTTCCCGAAACCGCTTAACCATTCGATCAAGAAACAAGCCAACAGTGAGGCTGATGTCCCCCGCCGAAATAGGAAAATAATTAGAGGACACATATAAATTTATCTGCTTACCATAAGCGGAACGGACAGACAGACAAACAGACAGACGGACGAACCCATTTTAATAGTTCCCTGCTTTCTTCGAAAGGCGGGGGACAATCAAAGTAGGAGAGTTATTGTTTTCCAAAGTCTCGACCAATCAAATTGCGTATCGCTCTGCTTACCCTGAGCAGAAAATGCTTATTATCAAACTTAGTCAAGGTATTACTGTAATGAAACTATACACCAAGTTTCATCAATCTCACTTAATTAGAACTAAAGTTATCGTGTCCCAAAGCATCAACCAATCAAATTGCTTATCTCTGCTTACCCTAAGCGGAAAATGCTCATCTTCGAACTCCATCAAGGCATTGACCTAATCAACACATACACCAAGTTTGAACATTCTAGCTCAATTAGGAAGAGAGTTATCGTGCCCCAAAGTATCAACCAATCAAATTGCTTATCTCTGCTTACCCTAAGCGGAAAATGCTCATCTTCGAACTCCATCAAGGCATTGACCTAATAAACACATACACCAAGTTTGAACATTCTAGCTCAATTAAAAGTTATCGTGTCCCAAAGTATCAACCAATCAAATTGCTTATCTCTGCTTACCCTAAGCGGAAAATGCTCATCTTCGAACTCCATCAAGGCATTGACCTAATCAACACATACACCAAGTTTGAACATTCTAGCCCAATTAGGAAGAGAGTTATCGTGTCCCAAAGCATCAACCAATCAAATTGCTTATCTCTGCTTACCCTAAGCGGAAAATGCTCATCTTCGAACTCCATCAAGGCATTGACCTAATAAACACATACACCAAGTTTGAACATTCTAGCTCAATTAGGAAGAGAGTTATTGTGTCCCAAAAAGTGTGACGGACAGACAGACGGACGGACAGACAGACGGACGAACCCATTTTAATAGTCCCCTGCTTTCTTCGAAAGGCGGGGGACAATAACAACCGCTCCCAAAGTCAAGCTGCCAGACAATATGCCGTCATGTAGTTTTCATGCCTTTGATCTTGCATGGTTTGTGATTTGTTGTTATTGCTTGTCTAAATATAATTGCCCTACACATTTGTTACTGTAATTGCTTGAAAACATTGAGAGGATACTCTTCGAAACATCGCCTAAATAAATCAGTAATTGTTTTTCGATAAGTATGTGTTATAGTTTATTGCTTTACCACTTACTAAATGCCTCTAAAAGATCATTAGTGATACCCTGATATTTTTGCCCAGTGCTTGCTCCATGGGGGTCCATTATTTTTCTAGTAAGATTGGTTGTCTCTAGTTTCCATACACCAAATTTGCCATACTTTTAAATGTGGAATTAAGTACCCTATAAATACTTTTGTGGGAATGTATCTTTAAACCCCCTTGCTTGAAAACATAGAAAATTAGGATATCTAAATATATCTTTATTATACATTAAACCAAGTATATAATGCTAATATGACTGTGTCCTGGAGCGTGAATACAATGACAAGATCGGATAGGTTGAATCGCTTCAATAAACTTATAAAAAGTAATCTATAGTTGGTGATAATAGGCGAATAAATCCATTTTATTGGTTAAATACCACTGTCGTCATTTCATCCAACTTCTTTAAATTCTGTTCGTGTAATAAATAATAAACAGAAACGGATACGGACATACCGGAGTAGAACGCATTTGTTGGTCGCATCTTCCAGATTTATAACCGACGTGTGTTTTTATCAAGTCATTATGCTATACCCTCATGTACTAGCCGTGTTTGTTCTGGTCTGTATGGTGGATCCAACTTGTGGCAGAAGAGTCAGTGGAAGGAAGCCTGTTCTGTTAAGAGACATGGGAGAAACAAGCGATTTCAGCTTCAAGACACTTTTACCAGGGTTATTTGCATCCAAAAGGGAAATAATGGCGATAAAGAATCACGACAGCCCCACATTTCGACTGATGAGTCAAAAGGTGATATCATCATATAGTGCGTCAGAGTTACCCGTAGGTTCAGAAATTGCACCATGTTGTGAAACGTAAGTATGTTTAAAAGTAAACGAAATGAGGTTTTGCCTCTTTCAACGGGTGGGGGGGGGGGGGTTGCCGAATGGTTAGCACGTGCCTGCTGTACCAAAAATCAAAACCACGCCAGTTGACTCAATGACAGGTCTTATGAGAGAGAGAGAGAGAGAGAGAGAGATTTGGGGTTTAACGTCCACTCGACACAAACTAGGTCATTTCGGGACTAACACGTGGTTCAATTTTAGTGGGTGGAAACCGGAGGACCCTGAGGAAACCCACGAGGTTGGACAGGCGATCCTACTCCTTGTCACGTACAACCGGGGAATCGAAACCACGCCAGTTGACTCAATGACAGACTTTGTGCTAACCATTCAGCCATCCAACTCCCCAGTGAGGATAGGACTGGCTTACTGTTCAATAAAGTCCCTCGGATTTTGCGGCCAAGCACGCAACATGCCTCTCTAGCTCTTCGGGTGAGAAAAACAATCGAGAGACCAGTGAATACTGAATTACGCATGTCTGTGTTTTCTATCCCGGTGAAGATGTCAAGTGATTCTATTTTTTTGTGTAAATATTTATGTCCACAATTACCATTTAAGCACATAATTATCAGTTTATTGTGGTGTGTTTGGGTGGTGGTGAATGTGGTGGGGTGGGGGGGGGGGCGCTGGCTGGTGATTCAATAATACTTTTATTAATTTTGACTGATTGATTTATTTAGGAAACAGGAGATAATTATACCCCTGAAGGTATCAGCAACAAACGGAAGTGTTTATTCTATTAAACACTTGGACAGTTGTTTCCAGTTACTTCATATAGGAACGTGTCAGGGGTAAATTACATTTTTATTCCATTTCTTTTCCCCAATAGTGGGTCACGGTGGCTGAGTGGGTAAGACGCTGGCTCGCTAGCCTGGAGGTCGGGTGTTCGATCCCTGCATTGGCCGAGAAAGTTCACCCAGATTTTCCGGCGTGGTTTCCCCTTGTCAGTGATGCAGGGTGGAGGGCCTGGCAAGAACAGCTGTCTAGTCATTCGGATGAGACGAAAAACCGAGGCCCCGTGTACAGCAGATTCCATTACCCTACATCTAGCCTCGGCTGTATGACGAATTCCGCCATTGGAACTACTTTCAAGTTCGCGGATTACCAACGGCGTTGCCCTTGACGACACCTTTGAAGAATGTTTTATCATACAAATATTTCAAAGTCTAAAGCTGTTTTTCTTTCAAGTTTATCCGATTTTCTTCAAACAAGGACAACTTTTGCACTGAAAATTCTACGCACGCTTCGATAACTTCTTTTTAAAAGCGGCAAGTTTTCCTAAAAAGTAAACCGGTGCCTCATCGCAATTGTATAGTCGTAAGTATATATCACTTACCGTCATACAGCCGAGGCTAGATGTAAGTAACGGAATCTGCCGAGGTTTGCCGAGTGCAATAACCTTACTTCTTAAAGGGCGTGTGGCTTTATTGTTTTTAACCTTGAAAAAGACAAAAATGAACCTAAAAGCACATATTAAACATACATTATGCAAGGGCTAAATCTGCCTATTGCAAGTCTTTTTTGGGGCCTAAAATGTTATCTAAATTATTCATTAGACATTAATTAACTTATCCAGACCATTATCAACTCTCGATGTCAACGCTAGCTTGCGATATTTATTAGATTATGATCCGATTTCCTGCTCCACATTTTCTCATGATTAAATTTTAATCATGAAATGGATAATCGACACTATGTTTTTTTTTATTGTACCGACGTTAGTAATGATGATCAAGGCTAAGCCGAAATTTCAGTCGCTTAATTCTTGACTGAATTTTTCAGCAAATTACCTACATTATCTAGTTTTTATCTATTATAGTGAGAATTGCCAACTCTTTATCTAATCTCCCATAATATGTCTTTAATATAATATAAATGTATGTAAAGTGATTTGTATTCAATTTTTGAAGAAAAAAAAGACTGGAATTTCTAATCAATTATGTTGGTTGAAATATGTGAACAGTTCAAATTGAACATCAGTCATTTACGCCAATATTGATTCTACACGTTTTTTAAATGATTAGTTTGTCGTTTGTGAGTTAGCCTTTACTAATTACTTCCACATTGTGTTGTATGATATGTTTTTATTTGTTCATTACAAAATGGCAACCGAAAAAACAGAGTACACGACTCGTGTACTGATTATTATGTTAATTGTGTCTTAAATATTGGATATGAAGGTCCCATAGTTTCACGGCAAGATAACAACATCCAATATTGATTGAAACTGATCAATATTGAATTCTTATTCGTGTTTTTAATTTCGAATATTCTGGAAGATATTGAGTTAGATACTTTGCTCCTTCAATTTCCCTTTTCCGTCTTCATTAGCGGTCTAGAGGCCGAAGCTACCCCCCTCCCGGCTAATCGATTGTCGCCAAAATGTATGAGCAACAGTAACTGGACGTCCCGTGTCCGATTCATGCGTTGGCCTAGACAGGCAATGGACAATGTATAGTTGTTCGGATGGGACAAAAACCGAGGTCACATGTACGAATTGGCGTACACGTAAAAGATCCCTCGACAGTCGCAATTCGATATAAGGGTAGGCTGCCCGGGAAAAATTTCCCTCATCATAAAACACACTACTGTATGGCGTATGTTCGTCTTCATTAGCCCAGTCGGAGCAGAACAGTAGGGCGTTAAATGCCATTTAATTTTATATCATTTCATTCATTCGCAAACGTGCGTACACATAGAGAATCTCCTACGAGTCACTTTTTAATATCAAAAAATGTCAACACAAGTCGATAAAGTAAACAAAAAAACGAGCCTCTGTCGAATTTTTTATTTTTATTTTATCGACCTCGTTTTTTTTTTTACTTTATCAACGAGTGTTGATATTTTTTTATATCACAAAAAGACGAGTAAGAGATTTTATTTATCACCCAATCCTTTCTTACATGCACAAATAAATAAATATAATTCTTTACTATAGACATCACTTTTACTGAACCTGATTACATTACAGCGTAGTGATACACCATTTTTTGACAGCAATTCAACCATTGCACAGTCCTTTATATTGACCCAGTGTTCCCATCAAGGTCAATTAAATAAAAATAATTCATTTTTAATAAAAAAAAAAAAAAAAAGAAGTTACTTTTAATAAAAAAAGAAGTTACCTTTAATCAAAAATGAACTGTCCTTTGAAAAAAGTTCCTTTTTAACTGGCAAATCAAATTCATGTAACGCGATATCTCCTTAGCAGTAGATTATGAAATGTATCACACAAGCGATATCTACCGTAGAATGTATTATTGGGTGATAACTAAGTTTAACAGTGGCTGTACAGTAAAGTTTGATTTGTATTTAAATGTTACGTATGTTTTGTCCAGTATTTGATGCTACCATAATAATGACTATGATGATTTTTTTTTACAGTACTGGTAAATGTCAGAATGGAGAAGGTTCCTGTATACAACGTTATTTCTTACAATGGTTGCTAGTAGAGACGGGACCGGATTCGGTGAATTTCTTACCGGTTGAATATCCCAGCTATTGTGAATGTATTTATATTGGGATACAACAAAAATAAATTCTTACCGGTTGAATATCCCAGCTATTGCGAATGTATTTATATTGGGGACACAACAAAAATAAATTCTTCTTAATATTGTGAGTTGTATTTGGTGGCTGGGTGGTCTACAAGTGACATTTTCCTCAGACAGCGACGTAACGGTCTACTCTGGTACATGGCACATGTTAAATGTATATTTCAGTAATTTTATTGTACGCGGAGATATTTAAAATAAAATCGAAGCCAAGACTTAAATAGATAACTAGCCAGCACATGTTCGTGAGAGAGAGAGAGAGAGAGAGAGAGAGATATGGGGTTTAACGTCCACTCGACACAAACTAGGTCATTTCGGGACTAACGGATGGTTTAATTCTATTTCAATAATTCGCTTGCGCGTGGGGATCTTTAGCGGTGAGAGGAAACCGGAGAAAACCCACGAGGTTGGAAGGGAGACCTTACTCCTTGTCACGTACAACCCTTTAATCGAAACCACGCCAGTTGACTCAATGACAGACTTTAAAATAAAGCGGGCACGTGCTAACCATTCGGCCATCCAACCCCCGCACACGATCCGGAAAATGGTTGAACCCAAAAATATGTTTATGTTTTTTGTTGACTTTCTATAATTAATTTTCACAGTTTGATATTTTTATTCATTTCTAACACTCAGCCACCGTGGCTCCCCGTAGAAGAATCCCCCCCCCCCCTCTAGCACACTGCGTGACGTACACCCATATTCATTAGTCCAGAGGGTTCAGACCAGTATGGCGATAAACCACGTGATATTTCGTTTCTTGAATGTCTGGATTTGTCAATAGTCGTATAAGTTCGTGTATTGCCCGAAATAATCAAATCTGGCTAAATATATTTGTTAAGGCCAGCCCAATTTTCGTCAAGGTCGTTGAGATGTTAGGATTAGCGCTAGCCCGGTTTACACCCCGTGATCAGGCCCGTAATTAGTTGGGTAGGGGGGTGCGCAGGCTGGGGGGGGGGGGCAAACCCCCTTGCAAATAGTGTCGCACCCCCCCCCCCCACCCTGTGAAAAAATTGTTGACCATAAAAACAATAGATATACATTATCCGTCAATTTTACAGCACCTCCTGAGAACACTTCCCGCCCTCTCGTTGCTCTGACCTAGTGAGGATATGTTCGTGACCTTTGACCAAACTTATCAAATAGATCTAACCATCAAATCTACAATCCACGAGAAAAAAATATTTTTAGTAAAGGGAGGCAACTCTATTGTAAGCACCCCTTACAAGGATGCAGACCACCATTAATTTCCCCACTGACTTCAATGTTAATTCTGGTCTCTTTGCCCACCTCCAACTTTTCCCCAAATTTTCGTTGGGCTGAATGCTTTTCACTACAGACAGAGGAAAAAATGGTCATGTCTTTGCACTAAAATTTGTATGAGGTTGACCACCAAAATTTTGAGATACACAAACTTGAAGAAGCATACTAAAACATTAACTAGTTGCCGTACATATCACCGTAGCCAACCTGATAACCCCGTTTTCCGTCCGCCTCAAAATCTAGAATATTTACCAAAACCTGGCAGAAAATGTTAATTCAAACCGTCTTCATCCATTCTAGAGAAAAGAAACAGTGAGAGAATTGCTATAAATAGACGAACTACACAAAGTGCTAATTTTGGTATATTTTCGTTGGACCGAACGCTGTCTACCACAGACGGATCAACATCTGGCAATATCTTGGTATAAATCGGTGTGTGGACGATAAGGAAGAGCATCACTATGACAACACAAGGGGAATTATGGCCACGATACAGGTTCTTAATAGAAATGAAATGAAATGAAATGGGGTTTAACGTCCTACAGGTCTGCTCCGCTCTGAAGACCAGCATACGCCATACAGTGTGCTATGAGGGAAATTTTGCCCGGACAGCGGCACTACGGTCTACTCTTATATATTGAATTCCAACTGCCAAAGGATATTTTACATGCAGCGAGCCAGCGTCTTACCCACTTAGCGACTGTGATCCCCTCTTAATAGAAGGTGGTAGAATAAGGTAAAAGGAGGAATAGCTCTGAATTTTGAAATATAACTATACGGATACTGTAATACAAAATAGACACGAGCCCTTCCCTTCCCCTCGAACAAAGAGAGAGAGAGAGAGAGAGAGAGAGGGGGAGAGGGATGGGGTGTGTTAACGTCCACTCGACACAAACTGGGTACTTTCGGAACTAACAAATGATTCAATTTCATTTCAATAATTCGCTTACGCGTAGGGGTCTTTAGCAGTGGGAGGAAACCGGAGGACCCCACGAGGTTGGATAGGCGACCCTACTACCATTCCAAACTTAGGCTGCCTGTCTACAGCTATCTCCGCCTGAGAACAGGCCCTAACCTGATCAACCGACATTTCAACTCCTACATCGACGATTTTAGTCGAAAACACTGAGTATGCCTTAAGAAATTTTTAAAAGTATTTATTTCTCTTCTATTTTCATATTGAATGAAATTAAATATGTTTATTTAGCCGCTGTGTGTATGAAAGATGTCAAACTGATCAGAGCCGAATCACAAAATAGTCCTCTAATTATTCAATATGGCGGCGCCCATGAAAAATAATTTCACAGAAGCGGTTTTGTTTGCGAAGACAAATTTAGGAGTATTTATCCTTGTTTTGAAAGATAAACAGATTGAAACTCTTAAGACAGTTTACAATGGCAAAGTCTGTATTGCAATATTACCCACTAGCACATATTATATATCGCTTTTACCGGAGTGGCAGAAGTCGACATTTTGCTAACTTGGCATTTGTTTACATAAACCACGTGCTTCGGATGTACAAAGCAGGAGGCCAGTCGATAAGTCCCGCCCAAAATGATCACGTTAGCGTTTTAAATGGACGCCATTTGGGGCAGTGATGTATTCTGGAAGTATGACGTAGAGGAATGCCCTACTCCTTGCCACGTACAACCAGCGAATCGAAACCAAGCCAGCTTACTGAATGACAGACCTTATGATACAACGCGCACGCGCTAACCATTCGGCCATCCAATTCCCCAATATTTAAAAAAAAAAGAAATATATACTATGTCAATTTCAAAAATAAATAAATGGAATTGAAATTAATTATTATATTATATTTCAAATCTATACTGTAATTATATTTAAGATCTATGTTGTAATTATATTTAATATCTGGGTTGTAATTACATGAAAGATCTGTGTTGTAATTATATTTAAGATCTAGGTTGTAATTATATTTAAATCTGTGTTGTAATTATATTTAAGAGCTGTGTTGTAATTATATTTAAAAGCTGTGTCGTAATTTTTGCAGTTGTAATTATATTTTAGATGTATGTTGTAATTATATTTCTGATCCAAGTCTCTTTACTCAGTATTTGTAAAATCAGTTTTATCAAAATCGTCTGAGCTTCTTTTGCCTACAGCTGACAGAACATTTATAACTGTCCTCCAAGATACTCGATTCCTCCAGGCATCTATTGAAGCTAACATAAGAATCGCCACCAAAACTAAGGCAAATATAATTCTGTTATAGAGGTTCATCTGAAGAGAGAAAAAATAAAGATTTCCATTCTGAATAAATTTCTAACCTTACTTTCACTTTCGAACTTATACCAATCCTAACATATTTAAGTTAAAGCGACATTAGGTCGTATTTTTTTGCGTCGAGTGTTACATAAATTATTATTCAGTGTTACATAAATTATAATGCCAAGCTGATAATAAACTCTCGGGACCATCGGATGGCTTAGCTATGGAATAGATTAGACATTGATCGCCAAAATGACTGATATTCACAGTCGTTCTGATGGTATGAAAAACGTAAGTTCAGTCCAAAAGAACCCTTGACAGTTGCAATTCGAAATAAGGCTGTAGAGAGGGAGACAGAAATGGGGTTTAACGTCCTACTGTTCTGCACCGGCTGGGCCAATGAAGACGGGCATACGTCATACAGTTTGCTATGATGTTTTTCGTATCATCAATAATTATGAAATGAAATGTAAAGGGGTTTAACGTCCTACTGTTCTGCTTCGACTGGGCTAATGAAGACGGGCATACGCCATACAGTGTGCTGGGGAAATTTTGCCCGGAGAGCGGCACCACGGCCTACTCTTATATCGAATTCCAACTGCCATAGGATCTTTTACGTGCACGCCAATATACACACGGGACCTCGGTTTTTGGTCCCACCCGAACGACTAGACAAAATCACATTAAGGTTTAAGTAGATTGAATACAAATCTAGACGTACATTTGTTATCTCAAAATTATGACATACATTACCTCGTAATTACCCCATAATTGGGGGATCGGATGGCCGAATGGTTCGCACGTGCGAGCTGTGTCATAATGTCTGTCATTAAGTCAACTGGCGCGGTTTCGATTCCCCGGTTGTACGTGGGTTTTCTCCGGGTCCCCCGGTTTCCTCCGACTGCTAAAGACCCCTACGCGCAAGCGAATTATTGAAATAAAATTAAACCATGTGTTAGTCCCGAAATGACATAGTTTGTGTCGAATGGACGTTAAACCCATCTCTCTCTCTCCCCGTAATTAGGATATAGTAAAATCGTACTAACTCCTAAGTAACCCGTGGTGAGCAGAAATTATAAGAGAGTAGAAATACTTACAAAACACGATGATAGAGTTTAAATAGGAATGTGGCACGTTTCTGACACTGTACAAAGTTCATACTTCAACTGTCTTAAAAACAATTCATGAAGTGTTCCATTTCCTACTGTTCTGTGCCAATCAGGCAGCGTACTATGAGGGAATTTCGGCCGAACAGCGGCGCCACACCCTAGTCTTAGTTCGGGTTCTAGCTATCAAGGGTTCTTTTATGTGCATTTGTTTAATTGTAAGAATTAAACTATGACCCTGACAAGGGGAAACCACGCTGGAGACATTCGAGAAAGTTTCCCGACCATTGACCCCCAGGTTTAGAAGAGATACCGTTGTCCCCCACTGCATGAAGGTTTCTAACATGATCTTGATAACGTTATAATGATACAAATCTTCTTATATTGGTTAAAATCTACACCATTTGATTACCTGAAAGAGGGGAATGAAAGGGTCCTCTGGCGAGAACGATAT